CCCCAAAACCCCAAAACCCCAAAACCCCTGGGATGGAAGTAGTGGTTGAAAATTTAGCCACTAAATGATCTATTTGGATTTCTTTTGAGTGAGTATGTCCAGGGTTTGGAGGATTTGAGGCTCCAGCCAGGAATGGAGCGGTAAAAGCATTTCTTATAGATCTTAGTGACTCTAAAATCTATCTTCAAAGATTCTTGCCCTTCAACAAGATAGTTTATCAAAGCATGAAGCATTGAGCTCATCTGTACCTTTCTTGAATCAGTAAACTCTCAGATCTCGAATCTTATTACCTGAATATTTAGTTTCTCATCCAATTTAAAGGGGAGTTTATCTCAGTAGATAGAACAATCTCTAAACCTAATTCCCTCTGAAGCGTAGCAGAGTCTGATAACTCTATCAAAGTTCTTGGAATTGAAGATAAACTTATTGATATTTACCTTCCCAGTTCATCTTGAAAATAAATTTCAAAGAACTCTTTTTCTAATACTATGCAAACTATTTGAAAATTCAGGTCATCTGTAAGGTTTATTCATACTCTTGCTGTCAGACACATGAAGTAATTTAATCGAGTTACAAGATCCCTCTGTGCTTGCCTTAATCATTTTTCCTATTGATTTCACACAATCTGATGATATCCTATCTAATCTTACATCAACTGAATCACAGATAGACTGGAACATATCTGCCTCCATATTAGGGAAAGTGAAATAACTGAATACGATCATACTTTTCAGATTTCAATCTGCTTGAAACCCTAGTCTTATATTTCTCTTTTGTTCCCTCCTTGCCAATTTTTTATATTGCTATTAGAACTTTGGGCATTTAAATATTTGAACTAATTATACAACAAACACTTGAGCTAATGATTAGTAGTCAGTGCTGCTAATTACCTTTTCAGCAGAACAAAGTGGAAGAAACTAGTAAAAGAGGATTAAAGAGTATGAATCTTAGTGAACTAAAATTTTAATTCTTTTTGGCTAATTTCTTCCATTTTGTACTGTTACAGAGGTATAACTACTCACGCATTACTCCTGCCCTCTTCAGCACTTACCTGAATTTGTTGATCTCTGAGGCACAGCTTATCTTTAATTGTAGCTTCCATTGTGACTGGTGGCTGGAATTTAAATGTATTATTTTGGGATGGGGTTTTGGGGTTTTGGGGTTTTGGGGTTTTGGGG